ARARAMACACACACATGACAGACATGAGGGAACGAATGTCCAGGGTCTTTCGCAACGTAGTGCGCTACCTTTGCAGTTTAGAATACACACACACGGGAAGGATGAGTTTAAAAAAGAGCTTTGATCCTGTCTTTTATACAGAAAAACACACGAGCATACGCTTTAAAAACTACTCTGTGAAAGAGAGCAGCTAAGGAGGGGGAGGGGTGGGGGAACAAAACATTTTTTTGCCTTTTAAGCTACTTTTTAGCTGGTTTCAGCTAACTTTATTTGTTCTAACTTAATCTTTTTGAGATAATTTCAGCTTCATACTTCTTAATTTAGCAAAAATGCTCTTTCTGCATCTTTGTGTTAGCTTGTTTCAGCTTTTTAGCTATTTTTTCACAAATTACAACTTTTCTGGAGGTCAGGGGTGTCAAACTCATTTTCACCAAGGGCCACATGAGTGTTATGGTGGCCCTCGAAGGGCCAGGTGTAATGAACTTTGACGTTTCATGTTTAACTTTGACAGTGTAGCTACTTGCGACCTGTCCAGGGTGTACCCCTCCCCTCACACTGTGGCTGCTGGATATGGGCACCAGTGACCCTGAAAGGAGTAAGCGGGTATAGATAATGGATGGAATAAACAGAGTTTTAACACGTCCTCTTTTTAAACACTGATRAGAACAAAGTATACGACTGACTAAATCTGAAAAAAGTACAGAAATATTAGTAAAAGTAAAACTAATAAAGTTTTACTCACTGAGTTTCTAGTTAATATGAATTATGGCAGATTTAGTTTATGGTTGATGCTTACTTTAAAGCAACTTATTTTCAGACATTAATACAGTGCTATCCAACTAAATTGCTCAGTTACTTAAAGCCGACAGCTCAGGGGCAGGACAATTGTTATTATCTTTCACCTTTTAAATTAATTTTGTTGCATTTAATCATAAATTTAAAGTTTACCATTGATATAAGAAATCTTTTTTTCAGCAAAAATCTATCAGAAATTATCATTCACATTTCTTCAGATAATGTAAATTCTCTATTTTACCTTTAGTTCATCTTTTGACATTTTTACCCTGTAGGTTGACTTTTCTTATTTCTAGTTTTTAACTAATATTTTTCTACTTTTAGCTTTTGCTTCCTTTAGCTTTAATCTAGGTTTTTGCTACTTTTAGTTCCTTTTTTTAATTTCATCTTGCCTTGTGTTACTGTTTGTGTTTAGCTTGCATGTTGCTATGTTTAGCTGCCCTCTTGAAACTTTTAACTTTCAGCTAACCTTTTGCCACTACCATAAACTGAATTGCAGAAATGAAATCATTAATGTGAGGTGTCCACCAAGGTCGTGATTTTTAACATCTGGCCATTGAAAATGCAGCTCCTTTAACTCGCTGCACTTGTTTTTTTTTATATTTCTTGGTCCATTTAACAATCTTCACCATGTCTGTGTTTCCTTCCAGAGGGCAGCGACTACAGCGACGCCGACGTTCTCCCCGATTCTTTCCCGTCCGCACCGGCGGAGCCGCTGCCCGAGTTCCTGCTGGAACCGGAGAATGGTTTCATCGTAAAGAACCGGCCGGTCCAGCTGCGCTGCCGGGCCTCGCCCGCCACCCAGATTTACTTCAAGTGTAACGGAGAATGGGTGAACCAGAACGATCACATCACCAGAGAGAGCCTGGATCAGAACACAGGTACACACACACACRTTTGTTTTTCTATCCTTATTGGGACCGTTCATTGATTTCTATTAATTTCCACTTGTTTCTATAGCCTCACTCAGACCCCTTACCCTAAACCTAAACTCAGTTCACACCTTTTAGTCCTAAACCTAACCCCCTAACCTAATATGGAGTTCCACCATAAAATAGACAGCTGGTCTTGACAAGGTAGGTGTAAATCCGGTGCAACAATACATGCATCTGTATTGAACCGTTCAATACACAATATGTAGGTAGGGAACAATACAGATTTTTAAAATTTATTTTATCAGCTTGTCTTCTGAAGAYGTTCTGTGTTGAAGCTCAGTGGATCTGTGTTCGACTACTCCACCTAGGCTGCATTGTCGAGCACAGATCCACTGAGAAACTTGCCGTTTCAGCAACATTTAACTTAAAAACTACAGAGCCCACGGGGGGACATGGGGAAATTTTTTTTCTTTTGCGTTCCCACGCAATATTATTGCGTTACCTCACAATACTTTTGCGTTACCTTGCAAAATTGTTTTGCGTTCCCACGCAAAAGATTTTGTATGTGAACTGAATTAAATCAGACTTTTATTTTGAAATATCCAGTTACCAAAACAGGATGTGTCGCCACAAGTTAGTGAAATTAACGATGTTGCGTGGCTGCAATGTGTTAAAATATCRGCATATGACATAYTTCCATGCGTGGCTGTGTGATATATTCATTCTGAAGCAGAATTAAAGCAGTAGGCTAACTCGCTAAYGGTGAACATGYGAGTTTGTTAATAAACCGGCAGGCACAACAGTGATAAACTACTTTTGCAAGGGAATGCAAAAGGTATTGCGAGGTARCGCAAAAGAAAAAAAAATCTCCCATGTCCCCTCGCGGGCTCCGTAAAAAAACTGTACTTTTGAGGTTAAAAAAARGTTCRTAATTAGTTTAAATAAATTACAAGCTAACAATGGCATTAAAAGTTCTCTTTTTTTGTATCAAAAAATTATAGAACGGTAAGACTAAATTATCAAACCAAATCGTGAATTTTCTGTATCGTGGCACCTCTAGTGTATATTACCAGAAACGGTCCTAAGAAGGTAGCAAATACAAGTACACACACACACACACATACACACACATAAAGTAATGTCACCTTGTATTTCACAGAGATAAACATCATACCTAATTACCAACATCATTTTCAACTATATTATCCATTAGGCCCTTTAGGATTTTATGTGCGTGTTAACGGCTTTTGGCATGCAGCCGGTGCATAAATTAAATGTGCTGTAAAAACTATGCTTCAGTGATCCCTCCCCTCACCCCTACCCTCCTAATAATTTCCCTGCCCGCAGGTCTGGTGGTGCGAGAGGTGGACATCTCCGTGTCCCGGACCCAGGTGGAGGAGCTGTTCGGGCTGGAGGACTACTGGTGCCAGTGCGTGGCCTGGAGCTCGGCCGGGACCACCAAGAGCAACCGTGCTTATGTTCGCATCGCCTGTCAGTATCAAAGCTCCGYATGAGTGTGTGAGAGTGACGGAGAGGTTTAAAGGCAGCAGGAGATACTGGAAAAGGAAATGTTTCTGACTTTTTTAGCTTTGTGTCRGCTTAAAAATATATGCAAATACATCATCAGTGGCGCTCCGTCTTAGTCCCCCCCCCCCACC